TTTTTTTTTTGTGTAGTTTTGTATCTTTGTATCTGTTATACAAGTACTTACAACCTGCGGGCAGCTTTTTTCTGTGTGATGTGCTCCGACCGGTGTGATTCTGACGAAAAATCAGCAGCAGACGCTTGCGACTAGTCAAATGATATGAACTGGCGAAACAAGTATCACACTCGTTCTCGTACTAATCGCAGTCATGCATTACGATCAAGGTAAATCCTAGTCCGCACTGCAAATATACATTTGTAATGCTGAGCCAATTTGTCATGCGATTTATACCAGTACAACGATGATTTTGATTTATACTAGTACAACGATGCTTTGTTTTGCATTTCATAAATGAGCCCGATCAGCAACTCTTCCATGAACTCGTCCAGTTTCTTTGAGGATTCCATCTCCAGCCTGTCCGAGGATTTCGATGCGAGCAACCTAGTTGGTTGTTATCACAGTGCACAAGAACTCCCAACACCTGCCCTTTATTTTTTGCCGTGCGAAAACTTCGCTCTTCATCTTCTCCTGGCACCGTGTAGCAGCACTGCCTTGCTTCCTTCATCACAGGAAACCCGAAAAACACTTGATCGTTCGATGAAAACTTGTCATGCAGAACCTACTTACATTATTTTTGCTGCCTTCATTAGCCCGTATTGTTCTTGCTGGTCTCGTTGATGCAAACGAAGGACGTAGAGGGGGAGAGCTTATGCGCTCTCATAGCTGTTTTTCTGGTTTTACGACCACGCAACGCAGCAGCGACCACTTGGACCATTTGGTGCATTTTTTCGATGTAATATGCAAGTGAAAAACTGTCTTTTATTACGGGAACCTGCATAACAGATTTTCTTCTCGTCTGATCGTGTAGGACGTCATGCATGGCGAGCACATGTTGAAGCCATGCATGATCACTACCACATGAAATTCCACATGAAGTAGTGACGAGGATGTCCTCCTGGTTGATGTCCTCTGGTCTGGCAAGTCTGACCCTCTCGCATGATCATGATCTGCAACTACACACAGCTACACGACGCACACAACCACAGTTTTTTTTCTACTTGGATATGTGAGTGCGTCGGAAGCGGAAGGGGAACTACCACCGAGATCCACCACTTCCAGGGGAACGGTGCCAGTAGTACCTATTGGCGCTCACGCAAACTGTGCCGGAAGCGGAACTACAGAAGGCGGGGTGATCAGTGGGCGGGATTATACGAAGCAAACTTACATACATCAACCAGGAAGTAGCAGTTCTACTACAACCACGGCGAAGTTCTTTGGTCAAGCAGGAACGGGTTTTGGTCTACTCCCTGCCGGTGAGCAACAACAAATAAATCCGAGGCCTCCCGTATCGTACAAAAAATGTGTTTCACGATAACAGCGAGGATTTTTTTGCAAGTTTCGCATCACTAGTGTGTTACTACACATGACAAGAAAGAAAACTTGCCATGATGTGTGCTTCCTAAGGGAAATAAACGCGCTCAAAAACCCAATGTCTTACTACACGCGTAGCAAGATGCTCAACTCTATACATCACATGTTTACAGTGAAGCAGTTTTTTCTTGCGATGTCCCATCGACCGGTCCAAGCGCTACGACCGGTTCCTGCGTCAACTGACAAGATCGCTGCTTGCGGAAGGGAAGCGGGCCGAAGCAGACGTGCTGTACTTGGAGCGCATATATCCAGTGGTGCGAATACCATAAATAATACCGCACTCGGTGTAATTATTGCAGTCTAATCTTGCATGACAGATTCAGACTTGATGCCTCCTTTGACGACATTCAGCATTCTTTTTAAAAGATATTTTTGTCATACCTCCTGCGTCGATCTCTACTACTACAACGAGTACGATTTTTCATGCGGCTTATTTTGCACTGCATAGAACACGGGACTTCTGGCTGAAATTGGATAAGGAGCACAACGGCTGCATATCAAATGCAAATAATGTCCTCTGGAAGAATGCAGCTTTACTGTTATGCGCATTGTTTTTGTTGTAGAAGTAGATCGTGAAGATCGATGGCGCAAGAAGCTGTGATGCACCGGCAGCAAAAACGTGTCAATGTGTCCTGTTTTCTGTCGCAACCAGCATTGGAGAGGATTTTTTGTCATGCGGGTTATTAATTAGGCATTCATCATATCATCAGTAGAAAATGAACGTTTCTCAAAAGCTGTGCTGAAGATGCAAGACCCTGCATTCCTTCTGTAGTGAAGATGCAAGGCATGCCAGATCTGCGCCTCGAAATAAACCACGAGCCTTGCTGCATTTTGCCAGAACCTCCAGGCATGATTTTTCAATTGATACTGCATCGGGTTTGAAGATTTCCGGCGGTTGATGTATGAGCTGGCGCGATCCAAGGAAAACTACGACCTCCCCGAGCCGCGGCTGCGCTCGATATCTTGGTTAAAAGCCCCGATGTTACTACCCATATTACCTCACTGTCACGAAGGGACTACTTCTGCATGGCAAATCCTAAATCCACAAGTTTTGAACATTTCGCACGACAAATGTAGATCTAGATCTTCTAGAACATTGTCGTGAGTCGTGCATAAAGCGTGGCTGGAACACAAAGCCACTTGCTGGTGCTACTTAGAACATCACAGAGGACATCATACCAGATCTGCATGTTGACATCGCTGGAGTCGGGGGTAGTAAGTACGGTTTTTACACAGGATGCTCGATGTGGGCCGTTTTGGTCGGCGGGGGCAGGTTATCCTGTGCACAAGTATCGTACAACTCATACTAATGGTGCCAGATATGCATGTTGTACAAAAACAAATCCACTTCCTAAGGTTAAGGTAATCAATCCAGCATGAAGACTTTCCATCCTTAGAACACCTGTAATCATGCGTTTTTTGCTACAGCTACTTTTTGTTCTTCTCGTAGAGTGCGATGATCCTTTTGCAATGCATACAAGCAGCCAGGGGCGGGCCGGGCATTCGGACAGAGCCGGTCGCCGTCGCCGGCCGGAGCTGGAGGAGGAACATCCTCGTCCTCGCAAACGTATCATGATCACGGGAAGAGCAGTACGTCGGAGACGTTAATCAACAGCAGCAGAAGCAACTACGGGACGACGGGAGGAGCCAGCACATCTTACGACGGGAGTAGAGATGCAAATAGTAGAGCTGTTGGTCATGATAAGGATATTAATCATGGAGCGGCCAGCAGCTGCACGTTGATTGCTGGAATGAGAACTGCAAGCGGCGACATAACGACACCAGGGAATGAAGATAAAGATCGTAACGCGTCATCTGCGCAACCACAGACGAACCTGATGAATGCGAATCAGTATCAGGAGCACGAAGGCGACAGTGCAGACCGGAAGAACGTCTACGCGAGCTACGCCAGAATTGGACTTGGAGGACAAGAATTACATCAACATCATCATCAGGACAAAGGTCTCGGCGCAGGAGGAGAACATCCGTCTTCCTCACCGCCTCTGGCGGCTTCATCTGCTGGCATCGCTACAAGGAGCGACAATCTTGTTCCGGGTGCTGTCCATCACGACCCGCAAGATTTTAACACAGTCAGTTTCGAAGACTTTGTAATGTACTGGCTGCAAAACATATGAGATGGAATACCTAAAAAGCTCGCATCGCTATCAGAAGCTGCATTTTATTTCGCATGATATTTATACAAAAATCAGGGTAACATATGGATATGCAAATGGAAATGAAATTGAAATGGTATGTGCGGTTCGAGTTCACGTTTGCCAAAACAAGTAGAACAAGCTCCAAATAAGAACAATGACCGTGTAAACCGTCTACTTCACCGAAAGAAGAAAAACTTTTACTTGTGATGCAAGAGTTGTGGAACAACCATAACTGAAACTGTCATGTGCTTAGGTCCCACCGACGTGCTCAATTGAATCGTGCAACTATGCCTGATACTGATAGCATAGAGCTTTATCTCACTTTTACAAAACAGCGACGACCTGTATCGTGAGGAAAAACTGTCTCAGTCTCAAACCTCCTTTGCAGATTCAGTTGCTCAGCATCACACGGAAAACCTGCGATGCGTCGGTACATCAAGAGAAAACACCTATGGAAGAGGACTTTCTTGCACGTCGAGCATGACAAAAAACTGTCTCAAGGAAGTTGCGCATTACAAGTGGAGGTTGAGACAGTTTTTTCTCAGGATAAGCTGCTGTGGCTTGACATCATGGTCGCGCGCAAGGACTATCCCCGAGAAAACAGGTAGCACAACATGCAGAATTAGGACAAGTAAGAAAGCTTCTAAACGCTTTTTTGTGCAAATTCGAAAGAAACAAATGTGAAACATCATAGATGAACCTCGAGAGATGAACAACATCAACATGTTCAAAGATACGTACGCAAAGAATACTTATGACATGTCGGCTGTTTTCCGTGTGATACTACTCGTAAACCCCGGCGGAACAGCATTCTCCACCATAAGGCCAGTCTTCAGGGTATCCAGTGCGAAGAGAAATATGTCTGGGTCTGGAAGATTGCAACACGATAGAAGACATTACAAGAGAAAAGTTTGTCATGAGTTATTGCGCTACACCTACAGTGCCAAGTGTTGGTCATGGATAAATGCGCGTTGTCTTTCTCCTTGTCAGGCGGTTTGCGCTTGATCACTTCGGTAGCCTGACTACCCAAGTCACTTAGAAGAAGCTCCTCTTCATGCGTGGGCCCGTATAATTGGATGTTGCTCATCAGCTGCACATTGGCATCACAAGTTTCCAGACCCAAACTACTTACACAGTTGCGCTTCATACAGAGTGCCCTGGAGGATGCGGAAAACGGCGGGTCGCCCAATGGGCTGCCCTCGCACAAGGAACTGCACAAGGGCCTCCAAAAGTACATCGAGATGACCAGCCCAACAAGGAAAAACCTCGCTGCAAGCGTATGACCCGCAGCTCAGCCCTCAGGGGATCATGTTCTCACCAACTATCTCAACTGCTAGCTAAGACTTGATAGGCAAATTTTTTATATCTGCAACCGAAAATAAAATAGGACCATTGTCATGAAGATGATGCCGTGCGACCACGACGTAGACGCGGTCGACTGGTTTGTTTTCTACGCCATGCGCGGATGAACTTGCTAGGAAAAAATCCAGTTGTATCAAGATGTTGATATGCTGCACAGCAGTACAGCCTGCGCTCATGTTTTTGCGCGACTCCCTAGTCATTGATCATTTGCATTGCAAGTTGTACTATCAAGTATGAAACGAAACATGCAACAGTTGTTGAGCACGTGGTGAAAAACTTCGTTGACGAGCCCATAACGAGCGTCCGACGACATGTTTCGAAACTTTATTCAACAGCTACGGCAGTGCACAGGTCATGGTCATCCCCACCACTTGCCATTTCAAGCAGGGCATGGACAGCAATAGAAAAACCACGGGCGAACATACTACAGAGTATGGTGCATGAAGACAACGATAAGTTGTAGTTCCTCCGCCGAGTGTAGTACTAGTGCTCCTCGTTGGCTGCACTTTGCATGGCAAATGAAGGACAGGGGGAAGAGGGCTGTGCACTCTCATAACAGCAGAGCAGCGGTGCGTGGAACAACAATTCATGATGACATTTATGAAATTGCAAGGACAACAAGACGAAAGTAACGAACGAGAAGTTCGTTGGAAAAAATGAAATGCACTTCAGACCGAGACAGATGAACTGTAAATCGTTTCGATTGGTAAACCACGTTGTCAAATTTTCGAAGCAAACAAACATGTATTCTCTTTGTCGCATAAGTATAGCGGTAGATGAAGGTCGTGAAGCTTTCCTGTATGATTTTGATGAAGTACGAGAGAACCACACGGTGGCAGTGACCCGGAACGTTGATACTTCTACCCTGTGACTGAATCTTAATTGATGAAAAACAAATGTGAACTTTTAGTAGTGCTCAACATGCCTCCTCATCCTCAACAGCCTGATACTGAAGATGAAGATTCAACCTTTTGCTCGAACATAAGCGGTATAATGTATGAAGCCTTGCAGGTGGATCACGAGATAGAGATCATCTCAGCAGAACACGTTCTGCCTACTTTGTTCTCAGTTGTAAGTACTTATCGTGGTTCTGGTTCATCAACTACTACTCGTGGATATCGATTTGCGTGGTTGTGCACATTTTTATCTTCCTCGTACCCGTCGTAAGCAAGAAGAAGAACTACATCGTCCCCACAACTGTTTGTGTTTGGTCGTTGGGCAAGGCTTGTGATGAAAGCGAAGTTGATCGTATCTCTTCCGGGGATAACACATGGATAATACATACATAATACTACAACTTTGCATCTTCGAGTTCGACCTCGATCGACCTGTCGCAAAACTAAATTTCGAAACACAATCGTATCGTTCCAACGAGAGATTGAGATGAATTATGAATCGTGAATCGTGAAGGACAAAGTGGTTAGGTACCTCCCACTGGCTGTCGTCGTCAACAACGAACCATCTACTTCATGGATCATTGTGGCTAAAATGAGACCTCCACGGGCAGCAGCCTTTGGTTTCAAGAACTGCAGTTTCATCTTCACGTTGTTTTCAGACGAGACGTAGAACAACATCTTTTCATTTTCAAAGAAGAAGATATTACTTACGAAGATGCGCGACGATGTCCACCGGGTCTACGTGCGGCGGGAGGACGTGTCCGCTTATTGTCGCAACAACCGTTGTGCCTTCCTTCCCGCCTCCGTCACGACAAATGCCTACGGGGATGTGTCTTCCCTCACTACCAAAGACGGGCTGCACAAGTCCCTGTCCCTGTTTTTTCGCGAGCTGGTGCGCGAACGGATCGAGCAGGAGTTCCTCGGCGCGCTCCCCAAAATGTACTTGCAGCACCGAAAACCGTGGTGGCTGCGCTGGAAGGGAGCAGCTTCTTCCTCGTCGGGCGACAGAAAAGGAAATAGAAGCAAAGGGAAGAAGTCAGTCGCGGTACT